GAACTTTCATCAATTTATTAAACTGAGCCTACTAAAAGATATGTTTCAATATTTCTACTGAAGGTTATTTATCAGTAATAGGAAAGAGATATAACAAAGAGATTGGTTACAGGAAGAACCTCTGCCATTATTCTGCCTCAAGGACTGATGCCTGTTAGTTCTTTGTGTTGCAATATTTTAAAGAAAAACTTCAACTGAAGCAAGTAATAGAATCTTGAACCAAACAGGCAAGCTATACGGAAGCTAATTTGAAGTTGAAATATTTGTTATATTATGTGAATAACATGAATATTGGTTGGTCAAAATGGCTGTATTGCATGGTGAATATTTGTAAAAGTTTGGTTAATTGATTCCATTTGTGTAATTTTGATTCTATACGATAAAGTTTACTGTAATGGTGTCAGCTATGTGTTTCAGCTATGTTAAAAAGATCAATATTGTGTATTGGTTGGCTAAAATGGCTATATTTCATTGTGAAAATTTGTAATAGTTAGGTACATTGACTGCACTGTAATTCTGAACACATGTGATAATTTAAGGACTAACGATCCATGTCAGCTTCTTCTTTGCATGTTTGTCCCAGAAATATCCCTCGTAATATCCCTCAGCGTAATATAGGGCATTTGATGCGCATAAAAATATATCGCAGTTCTCCATGTAATTCTTTCTTACATAAGATTCTATATTTTCATACATTTCTTTGAAAAATCATTTTGACAATAAATAACAATTAATTGTACAAAATTGATGATGATTATATTTTTATTGATAGATTTGCCATGAACAAAACTCACACACTCAGCCCTGTAAACTTATTTTGAAATATCATTGATGTAAACTGAGCTCTTCTCAAGGCTACTGCAAATTTATTCCAAGAATGACTCTCTATTTATTGAGGATTCAGATAATTAGTCTTTAGAAGCATGATTATTCAGATAACAAAGGTTCTTCCTTATATTGAAAACAAATATATATATCCTTTTCAATAATATCATAAAGTAATATTATTTAATGAGTTATGGATGAAACCATTTGAATTTTGAAGTGATGAAGATTGCTTCACAAGATTAATAATCCTCAGCATCCTCTCTGACAGGTTTAGACAGATCAATTTAAAAGTAGTTTAAGTATTTTTTTTATATATACAAAAACAATTGATTGTTTTAGTAAGTGGTATATTGTTTAAGTTAAGTCTCATATGACAAACAGCTTTTTTGTTCTAAGTGCTCCAACTGTGCGAAGTAATAGTATGGGATAGGTCCATAGTTTAAACGGTTGTATGAAGTTTCCAGACTTAAAGAAAAATACAGCAACTGCTTTGTTGTAGATTTTAAAACATTCATAATGCAGACACAACATGCTAGTTATTTGTCATTAAAGATGTATTGCATGTCCGGTGGAAATGATGAAAGCATACAAGAGCTGGGTAGTGTCAGCATGTCAAAATAACAATCCAACTATCCAGCTTCTACTTACCTTGAACCTAAATGAGTGTTTTATAATCATATAATATCAAAATCAATTCAAATAAGCCATAATTAGAATTCAATAAAATTCAAATATGTTTTCTATTGTGTAAAGCATGGCTAAGTATACTAATAATTAGTACATAAATGTAGTCAAACATGATTAGTACAGTAATCTACACACTTTTCAATCATATTTCATTCCATTTTATTAATATATTGTCAAAAGAAAACTGTATTATTAGAGACTTATTAGTATGTAATCATAAGCTTGGCAGACATTCCCTAATTTCCTGCAACTTTCCAATGCTTAGAAAATATTTAACACACTTTGAAAGGAATTTTTGCTGACACAACTCAAATGTTGTGTCATGATGCAAAATATTTAACTCACTTTGAAAAGAATTCTGTTTACTGGATTGAAAATTCATTGAAAAAGTTCAGTTGGGATTTATTGGTATGGTGTCAGAGAGGAAGGAAAGATAGATTTGTTCAATATATCCAATACTCTTTCATGAATGTACTGTCTGAATACATCCATACATATTCCTATGAAACCATCGACCCAAGTTGCAGTAGATGGAATTTCATTTGAAAGCACTGATGCTGGTAAAATTTTGTTTGTTTGAGCCATAACAACAGAATTTGAGAGAATTCAAGAAATAAAAAACTCCACACCTCTACGTCTTGGCAGAAAACTCCTGGTTCCAGGGCTTTGAGAAAAGAACAGGTCAATTTGACAATGTGATTTCTTTTGTACAAGATTATTATCAATTATTCACAAAGCTTTTTGTTCTCTCCCTAATCACCCTGGTGCACTTTCAATGTCGTAATGATGGCATTTTCCGGCCACAAGGGTATTCTCACCGTAAACAATCTATCATTTCAACACCTCACGTCATCCCAACAGGGTAGTGAAATTCCTCCGGCCTTCATGCCATGGTTCTGATACTTCCCTAATGCAATAGTTTTAACACTATGGAGTCTATTCCTCTCTGAATCTGTCCTGCATGTAATCTGTTGGTTACTCACACAAGGCTCAAAATGTGGGTACTCACACAGGCTCAAAATGTTGGTACTCACACAGGCTCAAAATGTGGGTACTCACACAAGGCTCAAAATGTGGGTACTCACACAAGGCTCAAAATGTGGGTACTCACACAAGACTCAAAATGTGGGTACTCACACAAGATCAAACGTGGGTACTCACACAAGGCTCAAAATGTGGGTACTCACACAGGATCACAATGTGGTTACTCACACAAGACTCAAAATGTGGATACTCACACAGGATCAACATGTGGGTACTCACACAAGACTCAAAATGTGGGTACTCACACAGGATCAACATGTGGGTACTCACACAAGACTCAAAATGTGGATACCCACACAAGGCTCAAAATGTGGGTACTCACACAAGGCTCAAAATGTGGGTACTCACACAAGGCTCAAAATGTGGGTACTCACACAGGATCACAATGTGGTTACTCACACAAGGCTCAAAATGTGGGTACTCACACAGGATGAAAATGTGGGTAGTCACACAAGGCTCTAAATGTGGGTAGTCACACAAGGCTCAAAATGTGGGTACTCACACAGGCTCAAAATGTGGGTACTCACACAGGATTCAAATAATAACATTATCTTAATTTCAAAAGCATTATTGTGACCATGTATGAAATTTAATCTGGAATTAGTTTTCATATATTTTTATCAGTCAGTTCTTAGTTGAGAAGCACATACTTATCATGGAGTGAAAATTGTACAATAGTATTCCTATGAATATGGAGAGGGTTTGGCTGCTTCTATATGCTGCAATGTTTTCTATACTGTTGTAGAAGGTGGATACAAGGTTGACTATACTCAGTTGACATTTTCATGATCAGATTACTGAATACATATGAAGATGCTGGTAGAGCAACATCTAAGTTGGTCATGAGCATATAATGAAATATATTTCAGTGTTCAGTTTTTAAACATAATGATTCTTTATAAGAATAGATGGATTTGTAACAGCATTCTCCTCACAATGTTTGTTACATTTTTACAAAATATGTCAGAAGAACATTATTAAATTCACTACAAAATTAATACTTTTATGCATATATACATTAATAAGAGAACTTCAAAATTCAGTATATGATACTTATCAATATGTTTGAAAATATTCCTGCAGCTGACATAATACTGAAGTCACTCACATTGCGATTGATGAAAACTCACTGAAATAGATATTGTTTAGTCTGAATTTTTTGTTTAGTTGCTTAGTTAGAACCATGTTTTTAAAGTTCATTTTTAAAGTTGTTTACAAAAAAGTAGGTGTTTGTCATGTGAAAAAATATGCTAGAAAACAGGTTATTGTTCTCATATTTTTTGTGAACCAACATGAAAGTATCCATTACAGACATATGTAAAACAACCTTAATTAGAACCTTGGTCAAATATTACAAAACATAGTTTCTTATTTTTCTCTCAAAATGATATTTTCATCACAGCCAGGTGGTGGTAGCTGTAGCTCATATGTTCAAATCCCGAGCCTTGAGAATTAGTGTTCGGATCACTCTATAAGAACTCGGAGACGCTGATTATTTGAGAAATACCACAGCAGGCTGCAGTGCCATGTTCAAATTTGAAAGCAGCTACAAGCATACATACTTTTGGAATTCACAGTTGCGTTTCAAATTAAAAGGTAAAGTCTAAAAATTTCAAATTGTTTCATCTGATTTTTCTTAGCTATTTGAACTAAATTTAAACTGAAATAACATCCCTGATGGAACTTTGATGCAGCAATTTCTTTACTTTTTACATGAAAAATGAATTAAATTGTGATCATAGTTTGCATTTGTCCATAACACCTGACATGGACATGTCCATAACCCATGGCTTGGAGAAGTTGATGACACAACACATTGACATTACAAGAGGCAATTTTGTCTATTTACCAATCACCTTTTCCATAAAGTTCCTTTCAAATAGATAAAGCACACACAGAAAGTGTGCTATTTTGATGGTGCATTATGTTTGATGGATATGACAGGCATACTTTGATATGCTGCTTTGATTGAAGATTGGTAAACATTTCCAAAAGCTGTTTGAATAGTTTGAACTTATAATTTCAGGATTGTTTCAGTATTTTTTATTGTTCCAAGTTGTGAAGAAAACAAATTCATGTATAAACATTGCTTCTCTGCTATTCATGATCTGTACAGCATACCCTTAATATGAAAGTATTATGATAATACTTGTATTTTTGCCTGTCAGAAGAGTACATCAATACATCAATGTTGACATCCAATTCTTCCTCCCATACAGTCGTAATTTATGAAATAAATATTGACCATCTTATTTAAGAACAATAATATTGCTGTGAATAAAAATACTGACAAAGTCACATAAATCTTACACATCCACTTTACGTTTTGCACTGCGTATGTGGAAATATTCTCCCGAGATAACATTAAACCAATCTTGTTTACCTTGCCAATACACTTATAATAAATAAGACTTTTTTCAATATTTCTTTTTCAATTCCAGATCTGAGTGCTATTCCATGGCCAAGAAAAGGTAGATATCCATTTCGATGAATACACGTCATTTTTTCAAGTTCTATGTAGTGTCACAAATCATAACTTGATGTATGGTAAATGCCACTGTATGTTCATCTTGCATTAGAGGAATGTTGTGTAACTTTGAAATATGAAGTTTGTTAGATATGACATAAATCACTATGCATATTTTTCTTCGCATTCCATTGAGCATTTTCTAAGGTTAAATGACAAATGTTTCATGAAACAGTGCATCCAGTAAAGTTATTACACAATTGTGGTTAAAGGCAACACCGGTTTAGAATCGCCATACATATATAAATTGCGTTCGAGGAGACTAAAAACTCTCATGTACTGTTATGCTTCTGGTCGAAGGCTCTGGAATTAACTGTACAGAGTTGTCTCCAGTTGATGTGTCAGGATTTTCCTGATGATGATCCTTGACTTGTCAACACCTTACCTGTGGTAGAAGATCCAGCATCGGAGAAATTGTGAATTACTTGGCCATTCCTCCCAAAACTAGCTGACATAACTGCCATGCTATAACTGAAATGCTGTTCAAAATGGCATTCCTCCCAAAACATTCACTCAAATACAACTTTCTATAGCATGTATACACACTTCAACTGTGTCTATACATTTTACAGATATAATTCGAGATGGCAGACCTATTTCAAACAGTCAAGGTAAGACTTCAGACTTTTCAACAGAAACATTTCATCAGAATAACTTAATTCTTACATTTTGACCCCCATTCTTCTCTACCAAACACATCACATCACTGTGCTTAGGAGTTTAGTCAAAGAAAATCAGGCTGCATTCTCTTTCTAGTTCTTGATGAAGTGCACTATACACATTCTCTCACTGACTGCTCATGCTTCAAGTGAATCACATCTGTCTGCTGTTAATGAATGCAGATATCTAGAACAATTCTTTCAAAAATGTAATTGAAAATTTGTAAAAATATATAAGATAAAACCAATTTAAAAATCCTTTGTTAAAATACTGGGATGAAAAGTAAGAATTGTTTTATTCTGGCCTTATTCAAGAAGCACCATTGTGCTGGTTTGTTGTTGCCACTGTCAGGAATAGGCCGGTCATATGACATTGGTTGTAGGACATCGACACTGGATCAGATACTCCAGTCGTTGACAAGAGCACTGATCAACTCAGCTGGGATCTGACGACATAATATCAACCATGTCATCTAACATGACCACCCAATCCACATTTTGTCCTATATGTATGATTCTTTCCAGGTTATTTTTTGTGCGGTTGAATATTTGGGTGTGCTGTTGTATACTGTTACCTCACAATACAATATAAGCAGATACACAAACATATTTCAAGTTTATACCCATGTTTACCTACAAATACTGCAGCAACACTTTAAAGATGCAGCATGGGTCTGCATACTCTGATGTCCATCCATGTGTATAGCAAGTTGCCTTTATCTCTATATACATACAGGGCGGTGGGGTAGCCTAGTGGTTACAGCGTTCGCTCATCCTGCTGGAGACACATGTTCAATTCCCCACATCATTACAATGTGTGAAGCCCATTTCTGGTGTCCCACATCAGGATATTGCTGGAATATTGCTAAAAGCGGCATAAAACCATTCTCACTCACTCACTTATTGATACACGTTCAGTTGATATTTAGATAGAATTCATATGATATAGAGAACAAAGCAGGAACCTAATCATGAAACATGTGATGGCATATTTATAATGTGAACTGTGGCATTTGTTCAATCATGTAACTTCCAGTGGTACAGGATTTCTACTGTGTGGAATCCTCATCTGTGACATATTTTTCTAAGTCCTGCTTTGAAGAGAGCTAAAGACCATGTAACAGATTAATGGCACCAGCAAGATTATCAAAAAATGCACTGAGCAAACAGACTTTCGAGATTAAACAATGCCTTAGTGCTGTGCTATGAATGAAATTAGTTAAACCTGAATATTTAATCATCAAAGAGGTGTTGTAAAATTGGGCAATTCTTGATGGTTTGTTACAAATGTTAGCTATGTAAAATTATAAATATTTGCAAAAATTCAACAATTAGTGATCACAAATGAACGATAAACAACTTATACTTATAAAACCTTAATAATCATTGTTCATTTATTCTGTACCGGAGATACATCTTCAGCTACACACAGGTCCATATTTCAAGATATTATTCAAGATTTAAGTCCCAATGTTACAATCATGAAGGGCGAGCAACCAGTTTGATATGTGTACGACACTGATTGTGTGATAGCAAACATTAAAGTCAATGTATGAAAAATACTTTGACAGGTAAGACATAATGCTGGAGAGTAGAATTAGAGAAAAGCAAAAAAGAACATTCTTCTGTGAAAAAAACAATAAAGTAAATAACATCCTTCCATTTTACTCTGCGGCCCCTCAAAAAGAATGGATGGCCACCGAATGAAAGGTGTAATTTCAGTCAGGATCTAAGCATGAAATTCAAGGTTATTATGTAGATTTATAATAAATGTTTTTGTTATGTATCATGGTAGAAATATGTTTACGATGTTGTGTGCCAACTTTTATGTCTTGCTCTAATAAGTGTTATGAATTTACAAAAAACGCCAGTCATTTTGGTCAAGATTTCTTAAAGGATTTAATCGGAAAGGGCTTAGGCATTGAGTTACTTGACTAGCTGTATAAAAGATGAGTTTCAAGATCGTAATTCTAGTAGTTGAAGAGATGATCAAATTTTACAATGACATCGACTTGAAGTATGCATGGTACAGGTCATCATGACATGTCAACGTAAACTTTAAACATAGTGTTCATAGTGAAAGTTAAATGTCTGAACTTTATCTCCCTCAAATCAGATCTTTGACATTTAACACAAGCTGAATTATCAGCCATTGAGCAAGTTGGATTCCATTTTAAACAGTGACTGTGTTTTGTAAGGCATTATGTTGAACATTTTAAGTGGAAGGGTAATACCTTGTGGGTTACATAAAAGACATGTTTGTGAAATTGTAAGCAGTGCATTTGTTACGCTAACATGCTATTTGTACGAATGAACCTATTATTGCACTGCTTGTATTGAAATTGTCTGGTTCGAAACTGTTGAACAGTTTTGTATCGGACTTGTAGGTAGATTGTGGTAACCTTAGTCAGACAATTCTGCTTGTTATTATTCACGATGAGAAATTATTAAAAGCAAATAGTTATATGTTGAACATGCACTGACTTGTCAAGGATCAACAGTTTTCATCCTTCCTTAGACTGTTCCCTATCAAAAGTTTTGTCTCAGTATAATGTTTCCCTTCAAAATCTGCAGTACTGTTTCTTATATATTGTGTCCCCACTTCAACTATTTATGTTCTCCTTTGAGTTTATTCTTGTTGATTAAATATGTAATCCTATAAATGTTGACTGCTCCATATAATACAGTATAGTCTCCCCAATGGTTCACACTTTATAGTCTCTGTATAGTGCCAGAAACTGTTGTTAATTCTGATCTTGTTTCCTACAAGGACTTTGGTTTATACTGATGGCTGTTGTTTCCTACAAGGACTTTGGTTTATACTGATGGCTGTTGTTTCCTACAAGGACTTTGGTTAATACTGAAGGCTATTGTTTCCTACAAGGACTTTGGTTTATACAAATGGCTGTTGTTTCCTACAAGGACTTTGGTTAATACTGATGGCTATTGTTTCCTACAAGGACTTTGGTTAATACTGATGGCTATTGTTTCCTACAAGGACTTTGGTTTATACAAATAGCTGTTGTTTCCTACAAGGACTTTGGTTAATACTGATGGCTATTGTTTCCTACAAGGACTTTGGTTTATACAAATGGCTGTTGTTTCCTACAAGGACTTTGGTTAATACTGAAGGCTATTGTTTCCTACAAGGACTTTGGTTTATACAAATGGCTGTTGTTTCCTACAAGGACTTTGGTTAATACTGATGGCTATTGTTTCCTACAAGGACTTTGGTTAATACTGATGGCTATTGTTTCCTACAAGGACTTTGGTTTATACAAATAGCTGTTGTTTCCTACAAGGACTTTGGTTTATACAAATAGCTGTTGTTTCCTACAAGGACTTTGGTTTATACAAATGGCTGTTGTTTCCTACAAGGACTTTGGTTTATACAAATAGCTGTTGTTTCCTACAAGGACTTTGGTTTATACAAATGGCTGTTGTTTCCTACAAGGACTTTGGTTAATACTGATGGCTATTGTTTCCTACAAGGACTTTGGTTTATACAAATGGCTGTTGTTTCCTACAAGGACTTTGGTTTATACAAATAGCTGTTGTTTCCTACAAGGACTTTGGTTAATACTGATGGCTATTGTTTCCTACAAGGACTTTGGTTTATACTGATGGCTGTTGTTTCCTACAAGGACTTTGGTTAATACTGATGGCTATTGTGTCCTACAAGGACTTTGGTTTATACAAATGGCTGTTGTTTCCTACAAGGACTTTGGTTTATACTAATGGCTGTTGTTTCCTACAAGGACTTTGGTTAATACTGATGGCTATTGTTTCCTACAGAGGTTGTTTATACTAATGGCTGTTGTTTACTACAAAGGCTTTTATTTATACTAATGTTTGTTGATTCCTGCAAAGGTTGTTGTTTATACTAATGGCTACTGTTTCCTGCAAGGGCTGTTGTTTATGCTAATGGCTAATGTTTCCAACAAGGGCTGTTGTTTATGCTAATGGCTAATGTTTCCAACAAGGGCTGTTGTTTATACTAATGGCTACTGTTTCCTACAGGGCTGTTGTTTATACTAATGGCTACTGTTTCCTACAAGGGCTGTTGTTTATACTAATGGCTACTGTTTCCTACAAGGGCTGTTGTTTATGCTAATGTCTAATGTTTCCAACAAGGGTTGTTGTTTATGCTAATGGCTGTTGTTTATGCTAATGGCTACTGTTTCCTACAAGGGCTGTTGTTTATGCTAATGTCTAATGTTTCCAACAAGGGTTGTTGTTTATGCTAAAGGCTGTTGTTTATGCTAATGGCTACTGTTTCCTACAAGGGCTGTTGTTTATGCTAATGGCTACTGTTTCCTACAAGGGCTGTTGTTTATGCTAATGTCTAAAGTTTCAAACAAGGGTTGTTGTTTATGCTAATGGCTGTTGTTTATGCTAATGGCTACTGTTTCCTACAAGGGCTGTTGTTTATGCTAATGGCTACTGTTTCCTACAAGGGCTGTTGTTTATGCTAATGTCTAATGTTTCCAACAAGGGTTGTTGTTTATGCTAATGGCTGTTGTTTATGCTAATGGCTACTGTTTCCTACAAGGGCTGTTGTTTATGCTAATGGCTGTTGTTTATGCTAATGGCTACTGTTTCCTACAAGGGCTGTTGTTTATGCTAATGGCTACTGTTTCCTACAAGGGCTGTTGTTTATGCTAATGGCTACTGTTTCCTACAAGGGCTGTTGTTTATGCTAATGGCTACTGTTTCCTACAAGGGTTGTTGTTTATGCTAATGGCTGTTGTTTATGCTAATGGCTACTGTTTCCTACAAGGGCTGTTGTTTATGCTAATGGCTACTGTTTCCTACAAGGGCTGTTGTTTATGCTAATGGCTACTGTTTCCTACAAGGGCTGTTGTTTATGATAATGGCTGTTGTTTATACTAATGTCTGTTGTTTCCTACAAAGACTTTGGTTTATACCAATGTCCAGTGTTTCCGCTAAGA